GCGCGTCGCCTCCGACTGGTCATCTGACATTTTCCATGACGTCATATCAGTTAGTCGTCAGGGGAGGAGACTCTCTTCAAAGTTCGAGTTATTTTGTGTTTTCCTATTGTGTTTTTATATATGTCGATCGTTTTTTTTTTCAGGATGATAATAAACAGTTTGGCATAAAAAAACAGAGCGATCCAGCAAGAACCTCCAGATGGCATAGTACCTAAAGTCCCGGTAAACACTAATAGTACCAAGCGAGCTAGAGTATAAGGATAAATTAGATTAGAAAAAAAATGAATAAAAACAAAATTACCACTAATTATTACACATAATAAACAAACATCATATTTTCTTCTAGGAGGAACCTCTTGTACATGAATATAAATACAGAAGAGTCAACGACCAAAACAGTTTATTTTCCTGCGATCAACAAAGAAAGAGAGACAATTGAAAATGAGAGATTATTGTTTAGGAGGAAATGAAAAGAAAAATGCACGCTTACGTTGACTTTGTGAATGGACAAAATGTCATAAACATCGACACAAAAGTATATACGCCGTGTTTGAGCATGTGTCTAGCTACAGAAAAGGGAGGAGGAGAGAGAGAGAGCAGCAGAGGAAGGGAAAGAAAGAGGAAAAGACTGAACGACTGGTGCACAGTAAACATATATACGGTCTTCTGCTTTCGCACATACGTGATCACATACGATCTCAATATTACTCTATTAAAACAAAATAAGACAGAACATAGTAAGAGTAGCAAGTAACATAATTCTAAATATCTTTCTTTACATTCAGTTTCGTAAAAACGAGCGTCTGTAACATAAAAATGTGTCTGTGTGGGTGAGGGCTGTTTATAAATGTGTGTCTGAATAATCAAATAAATATATAATGCTTATATATACATATATAAATACATATTTATATTATGTATGTATGTATGCATATACATATATATTCTATATCTATCTTTCTATCCATCTATCTATATATTCAAATACAAACACACACAGACACACACATATATACAAATATGCATGAGTGTATATGCAAACATATATATATATATATATATATATATATATATATATATATATATATATGTATACATGCATACACACAAACAAACACACACATATATATATGCGTGTGCGTGTATATATTTATATATATAGATATACAAATATATATATATATATACATATATATTTATATATATAGATATACAAATATATATATATATATATATATATATATATATATATATATATATATATGTATGTATGTAAGCACACACATACACATACACACACACACACACACACACACACACACACACACACACGTACGTACACACACACATATTAGTCCGCATCGTGATGGGAGAAATGTGTTATATATATATATATATATATATATATATATATATATATATATATATATATATGTACATATATATATTTTTTTCTACAGACATTTATTCCACTGCAGGAAATTGGCATCCCCCATTTCATTATTTAAGAGGTTATTTGGTAGTCTCACCCTTGCCTGATTGGATGGCCATCCTAATCAACCGTATATTTACACATATACATATATATATATATATATATATATATATATATATATATATATATATATATATATATATATATATATATATATATATATATATATATATATATATATATATACATATATATATACATATAAACACACATTTGTGCTATCACCGATGCGGTGTTTGACGCACAACTGAAAGCAATCATATAGTTGACTGGGTGGTTGACTCCTTCCCAGGGGAGTAGTTGGTTAGTTAATGTAATCAATGTTGGTGGTTCTCAAACCACCATCATATCTACGATAAACTCACTCACTACCGTATCATGTACATATGTATGTATGTATGCTTGTATGTTTGTGCAGGTGTATATATATGTATAAATACACATACATGCATGTTTATATACATATACACACATATATATACAAGCATGTATATAAACATATATGTATGTATACATATATGTATATATGTATGCATAAATATGTATACAAATATGTACATGTGTATATAAGTATGTATACAAACATATACATATGGACACACATATATACATATACGTGTGTGTATATGTGTATATAATATATAATCATATATATATATACATACATACATAAACAAAAGTACATATATGTGTATGCATATATATAAGCATATATATATATATATATATATACACAAATATATAACTTGTATATATGAATATATGTATGCATAAATGTATTTATATATATACATACATAAATTCATGTATATATACATACATAAATATATATATATATATATATATATATATATATATATATATATAATACATAATACATATATATACATAAATGTATATATATGTACATATATATATATATATATATATATATATATATATATATATATATATATATATATACATATATATATACATACATAAATGTATATATATGTACACACA